TCGTCCATTGATGTGTAGTCATCGCCTCGTCATCCGTTGACATGGTCGTCGTCCGTTGACGTGGTTGTCGTCCGTTGACGTGGTTGTCGTCCATTGATGTGTGGCCGTCCTCGTCGTCCACTGACGTGTCGTCCGCTGACGGGTCGTTGTCCTCGTCATCCGTCGTTGTCCATTGTCGTCCTCAGTGGGTGGTGATGGCGACGGCGACGGTTGTGGCTGGTGGTGGCTGTTGGCGAGGGTGGTGGCGTGGTGTGCCCGGTTGTTGTCAACGACGATGGTGGTGGTTTGAAACAAACGTTGTGGATTGTTTGATGATGTGAAATCGAGCCTCGGCGTTTGCCGAGACTCGATTTGGGCATGGGTATATTAATGTTTATTAATATTATTGATTAGTAATGTATATTCTGGACATTGCATTCCGGTTGCATTCCTTTTTGTCCATTCCGGGGACCATTCCAGCTACTAATCAGGAATGACATCATTCCTGAGGAATATTTGTCCCCCGGAATGGAGGTCTTTACCCTCCCCCACGTAATCCATATGGACTCCAGTGGACTCCAGTGGACTCCAGTGGATTCCAGTGGCCCTCTTACCAGGCCAGATTGGCTGGCAGAATGCCCAGTCCACTGGAGTCCAGTCCAGTCCAGTCCAGTCCAGTCCACTGGACTCCCACTGGACTGCCAGCCACTTTTCAGAGTCCAGTCCCAGTCCAGTGGAGTCCAGTGGATTCCAGTCATTCCAGTATATTATTATTATATATGAATATAACTAAAAAAGCGAAAATCAACTATACAATAGACAAGGTATACCTACAATTTTATTAATCAATGAATGGAAAGATTATAATTTACATATAGTGTGGGTCAGTGATAGCTGCAATAAGGATTCATGATTTTGTTCAGTCTGCGGGGTGAGGTCACGTGACTTACTTGAGGGCGTGCCATATTGTCACGTCGCCTGTTTGTGGGATGGTCACACTGCCATGACCATCCCTTTCCCTTCCACCACCACCACCATTCACATCTCAACACCGCCGACGACGCCCACGCCCACGCCCATGCCCATGCTAACAACACACACGATGCCCACGCTAATGACAACGACACCCCCAGCGCGGAACGATGGACCAAGGACGAGGGACAACGCCCATGACGTGGCAACGTCATGGGCAAGGGGTACCTATGCCCCACCACCCCGTTCTCACCACGACAGGCATGACGCCAGCAACCACCCATGCACGGCACATGAGGACGGCGACAACGACAACACGTGAGCATGACGACAACACGTGAGCACGACGAAATGCGAGCACAACAACACGCAAGCACAATGACGACAACACGCGAAGCTGACCACACGAACGAGCACCCACGGAAAACGGCCACTGCCCACCACCGCCTGCTGCCACGTCACACGAAAACCAGCCACCGCCCATGAAAAACGACCCCCGCCCACAAAAACAACAACGACACGCGAGGACGACAACGACTACACACCGGGATGACGACACACGACAATGACACGCGACGACAACGACAACGACACGCCGGGACGACGACACACGACAACGACAACGAATGAGCGCCGACAAAAGCGCCGCCCACGAAAAACAACGAGCGCCCGCCAGCGCTGAACGGCGATGAGGGCCCAGCAGCATCACCCTTCCCCTCCACTCTCTCCCCCCATCACTACCTCCTCTCTTCACCACTCCCACTCCACTCCACTCCCTCCCCCCTTCACACTCTCCCCCCTTCAGTCTCTCCCCCCTTCAGTCTCTCCCCCTTTCCCCCCTCCCCCTTTCCTTGCTCCTCTCTCCCCCCCTCCCTTTCCTTCCCCCTTCCTTNCTCCCTCCCCCATCTATTCATTCCTCTCTTCCCCCTCCCTTTCCCTTTCCCCTCCCTTTCCCTTTCCCTTCCCCCTCCCTCCCCCCTCT